CGGCACATGCATCTGCCATCAGAACCTACATCATACATACATACTAGTCCCATTGGATTCTAAATCCTTTGACCCCAACCAATACACTAATTTTTTTGTTACTCAAATTTTATGTCAAGAGCACGAATTATGACTAGTTTATTAATATTATCAAAAAAACAAGAGAGATATATCTTTAGTTTCCTATATTAACCCATCTTAAGTTTGATAAATCTTAACATAATATGTTATCGATGTCTTTATTTATCATATTAAATTTGAAATTTGATAATTTTTTTTGACCCAAGTTACGAAAAATTTATTTTTCAGTTCTGGTGCCAATGACCTATTTTTTATTTGACCGAGAGAGAAAATTAGTTGAGATGCGCAAAAATTGGTCCAAACATTTTTAACCGCAATACGTCCAAAAGAAAGAAGATATATAACAATTTAATGTGATAAACAAATTATTTTTGGGTTAAATTTTCTTAAGCCCTACCAAAAACCCAAGTAAATATTGGGTGTAACGATTACACCACCTCAATATTATCATGTGGTGTAAGTGTTCCTATAAAGAATTAGAAAATAAATAAAATAGATTTCATTGTCTTATATAGAAGTGGTTACGTATTACATGGATGAATGATTATTTAATTTTGTGAGAATTATTTATTTATTTATTTATAAATAATTACACTACTTGATATTACTGATATGATATAAACATTAACTCTAATATTTTCTTACAAACCCTACGCATGGGAAGCTCGACTCTTATGATCACGTGCCAATGTAGGTTGATTTTGTATTTTTGGGTGCATTATTAAGCATTAACTCGATAGGTAAGGCATTATTAAACAATTATATTGAAATTATAGGCAAAAACATTATATAATTTTGGCATTTGTTATTACATAATAATTTTTTTCAGCCGACATTTCAGTTAGAGGTGGTCATCAATGAATGAATGAGATGATGCGGAAGCGACATTGTAGGGCCCCTGTTGACCACGTGGCAGACAGCATCGTCTAACGTCCCACGTGGGTCCCAAATTAACATACAGAGAAGATGGCCGTTGTATGGGCCCATCACATGACTTCCATGATTCCATCACCTCCACCATTACTACACATTGATAAGTTTTAATCGTGTTTGAAACTCAATAATTTTTTCAGGCGAGAAATTTATCCCTAATAAACTTTTTAAATTTAGAATAAAAAATTTATTGTTGTTCGGAATGATGAAAAATTAATTGAAATATGTACAAATTAATTAGGATATCCCTGATAATAATATTAAAAAAAAAAAAAANTGACCTATTTTTTATTTGACCGAGAGAGAAAATTAGTTGAGATGCGCAAAAATTGGTCCAAACATTTTTAACCGCAATACGTCCAAAAGAAAGAAGATATATAACAATTTAATGTGATAAACAAATTATTTTTGGGTTAAATTTTCTTAAGCCCTACCAAAAACCCAAGTAAATATTGGGTGTAACGATTACACCACCTCAATATTATCATGTGGTGTAAGTGTTCCTATAAAGAATTAGAAAATAAATAAAATAGATTTCATTGTCTTATATAGAAGTGGTTACGTATTACATGGATGAATGATTATTTAATTTTGTGAGAATTATTTATTTATTTATTTATAAATAATTACACTACTTGATATTACTGATATGATATAAACATTAACTCTAATATTTTCTTACAAACCCTACGCATGGGAAGCTCGACTCTTATGATCACGTGCCAATGTAGGTTGATTTTGTATTTTTGGGTGCATTATTAAGCATTAACTCGATAGGTAAGGCATTATTAAACAATTATATTGAAATTATAGGCAAAAACATTATATAATTTTGGCATTTGTTATTACATAATAATTTTTTTCAGCCGACATTTCAGTTAGAGGTGGTCATCAATGAATGAATGAGATGATGCGGAAGCGACATTGTAGGGCCCCTGTTGACCACGTGGCAGACAGCATCGTCTAACGTCCCACGTGGGTCCCAAATTAACATACAGAGAAGATGGCCGTTGTATGGGCCCATCACATGACTTCCATGATTCCATCACCTCCACCATTACTACACATTGATAAGTTTTAATCGTGTTTGAAACTCAATAATTTTTTCAGGCGAGAAATTTATCCCTAATAAACTTTTTAAATTTAGAATAAAAAATTTATTGTTGTTCGGAATGATGAAAAATTAATTGAAATATGTACAAATTAATTAGGATATCCCTGATAATAATATTAAAAAAAAAAAAAAGAACATAGAGATACAATATTATGTGCCATGACCAAAATTAAGATACTATTATTAATTTATTTTTATTCTTATCTATAACACAAATAGTGATTTTTTTTTATGAAATACATATAAATTAATTAGGATTGATAAATGGTAGGTATTATATTATTATTAACACGTGATACTATTTATTTTTTGGGCAAAAATACTTGATACTATTGATTAGCTACAAATTAATAAGTTGATCTATCAAAATTTAATTAATATCATTTTATAATATATGAGAAAGAAATGTTGTGTTCAATAAAGTTTTTATTAAATTTTAGATTTCAAATTATGTGACACATTAATAATTATTGGACAGTCAATAAGAGTTTGTGAGGTTGATTAAATCTATTATTCACATTGATTTAAGATTTAAAACTTAATAATTTTTTTTTTCGACATGGAAAAAAAAGGCGAATTTCACTTTGCATCTTGAAATATTTAAAATTTTTATTTTGTATTTTTAAAGATTAAAATTTGTATATTATCTAAAATATTGAAATGTGGCCCTTGATTAATTTTTTGTTAGTTTTTTCATTGTGTCAATGTACTGACTTTTAATAAAAAAAAATAATAAAAAATTATAAAGAGGGTTACATTGTAATATTTTTGATATATTAAGAATGTAATATAAAAAATTTAATTTTTAATAGTATAGAATTGAAAATTTGAATTCTTTGAAAGTATAAAATTATAAAAAATTTAAAAAAAGAAGAAGGAGAAGATAAGAATGAAGAGGAGTGGTTGGTACGCAGTAGCAAAGTCAAAATTCTGGTTTTTACAGCGCCTGCAATAGCCTTGAATTCACGAATTCGCATTTAAATATCATTAAAAGAGTCAGCAGTGTCATTAATTGTTTGTAATAACGACAGCTTTAATTAATTAATTAATTACAGCCGACATAGAAAAGAGGCCAGAGGTCGCAGGTGGCTGAGCATAATGGAAAGGGGGGAAATTCTTCTGTACCCGAAAAAAGAAATAAAGTTATAATTTAAAAAAAAAATTTATATTTATTTAGAAAAAATTATCATCATCGATCACAAATATTTATAATTAATTATAAAAAATATGATAGGATCAAATTTTTTTGATCTATTATATCTTTTAAAAAATTATAATTTATATTTTAAAAAAATATAATTTAATTTTAAAAAATTATAATTTTTAATGATAGGACCGTTAATAATACCCTAGACATCCCAAAGGAGGGGAACGTAAGACGACCGTCACTACTAATTAGTAGCTTTCTACTACCCACTTACCCAGAAACCGATCTACCCGTTGCTTCATGCCAAATCCTATCATCCTTTCGGTGTCGACTCACTCTCTCTCTCGCCTTCACAGCTCTGAGCCCAATGCATACGCGGCTTCAATGCCTTTTCTCAGCACTCAGCAACAGCAACCTAGCCACAACCTTAAACAATCTTTCAAATCTAATTCGTTATATTGTATTTAATGAATTTAAATTTAAATATATCAAATTTGATTGAAATTGTATATGTACTATCTATTTTTATATTTTATATTACGTTAGTTTATATTCACTACATCTTTTAATCTTTCAAATTCTTTTTTTACTGACTTCTCGTTCTCTATTTGATAACTGAAATTGGGGTTGACAAATCTTGTTTATGATGCTTGTTAAAGTTTCAAATGAGTAAACATTATGATTTTTTTCTTTTTTTGTTGTGTAGTTGAATTTGTTACAATTTGTGAGATATTTTATAAGTTGATTTTATTTTATAAATAAATGGATTGAATCAAATTTTTGAATAAAATATCTAAAAATTAATGAATTCAGACATGAATTAAAAATTTTAAATTTGTCAGATAAACGAATCAAAAAAACATAAATTATAATTGAATTTAGATTCGTATATGACAAAATTTGGTTCATATTTGATCTGTTAATAAGCCTAGTGGTATTAGGGATATTTTATAAACTCAGGTATTCTAAGTTCAAATTTTGACAATTTTTTGGAGTTAAGTTATAAAAAAATTATTTCTCATGAGTACCATATTCTTAGTATGGATGATCTTGCCTTTGATCGTAAAGGGAAGAGGGCGGTTCGGATGCCCCTCACAGTTGAAAAATAAATCTTATATACCATCTTCCAATCAATTCAACATAAAATCCATGCAAAATTTTTGAATTTTAACTTAATTTTAATAAATTTGAGTGATTAATATATAAATTTATTAGACTCTGTCAAATACACATATTGATATTTAATGGTTATTGTGAGCATTTACTAGTTTCAAAATAAAAACATACAAATGTTTAAATAAATTTAGCTCAACACAAAATGATCATGTTACATTTGGATTCGAGTTATGCACGATAAAAAATCAACTCAATGCGAAATTATCAATATAAAATATAATCACAAATAAATCAAGTATTAATTTAATTAATTTTAAAATAATATTATTTAACCCGACTTCCATCCGAACCGATTACTAACCCCACCAAAGCTTCAATTCTTCGAAACTCCGTTGCACTTTCTTCACCAAGTTTTCTATTGAACTATTATCTTCTTTGTTGGGTCAACCAAACACCTAATCTCTCTCTCTCTGCCATATTGGTCAACCAGATACATTAAAAAAAATTAATTAATTGTCCCATTACACCTCTCTCTCTCTCTCTCTCTCTCTCATTTTCCTTTATAAACATCTGTCCATGGAATACTTACCCAAAAAAAAACATCTGTCCATGAACGACTTCACAAGCTTACAAGTTTCAGCTGGCAAACCTCACCCTTCAAAAATGGACGAGGAAAACCCAAACCCACCAGACTCGGACCTCGACCTCAGCTTCACCAGCTGTGCCTCCATCACCACCACTACCACAGACCGCACACTCAGCGCCCGAAGTAGCCTAACTCGCAGCAGCCTCTGTCTCAGCTTCAACGAGTCACGCCTCTCCTCCACCTCCACCTCCACCTCCACCACCATTCCCAACCTCCACCGCCGCCCCCACCGCAAAGACGACCCACACTGGTCCGCCATCAAAACAGCAACAAACCTATCCTCCGACGGTACCCTCCACCTCCGCCACCTCAAGCTCGTCCGTCACCTTGGCACCGGAGATCTCGGACGTGTCTTCCTCTGCCGCCTCCGTGACAACGACCACGCAAACTTCGCCCTCAAAGTCGTCGACCGTGAGTCTCTCACTACCAAGAAACTCTCTCACGTTCAAACCGAGGCACAGATCCTCTCCACTCTCGACCACCCTTTTCTTCCTACACTCTACGCTCACCTTCAAGTCTCTCACTACACATGTCTTCTCATCGATTATTGTCCCAACGGTGACCTCCATTCCTTGCTCCGCAAGCAACCCAGTAACCGATTAACAGTTCAATCAGTCAGATTCTACGTGGCTGAAGTATTGGTAGCTCTCGAGTATTTACATTCACTTGGGGTTGTTTACAGAGATTTGAAACCTGAAAACATCTTGATCCGAGAGGATGGTCACATTATGTTATCAGATTTCGATTTATGTTTCAACGCCGATGTTGAACCAAAATTAGAAACTTCAAGCAAAAATCGTAAATTAAGTCCAATTAAAACCCGGCGATGTGGCTGTTTCCGACACAGACAATCGGAAAAAGTGGTGACGGAGTTTGTGGCTGAGCCTACGACGGCTTTTTCAAGATCTTGCGTCGGAACCCACGAGTACTTGGCGCCGGAGTTACTCACCAGCGCCGGCCACGGCAACGGGGTTGACTGGTGGGCGTTTGGGGTGTTGATATACGAGCTTTTGTATGGTACGACGCCGTTTAAGGGAGGGAGCAAAGAGTCCACCCTGCGCAACATAGCGTCGAGCAGAGGGGTGAGGTTTCATTTTGATCAGGAGAGAGAAAATGAAGAAGGAATGGCTGAAGCTAAGGACTTGATGGAGAGGTTGTTGGTGAAGGACCCGAGGAAGAGGCTAGGATGCGCCAGGGGTGCGACGGATATTAAACGTCACCCCTTTTTCAAAGGAATAAAGTGGCCGTTGATCCGCACTTACCGGCCGCCGGAGGTACGTGGGGCGGTTGTGAGGAAGAGTAGGACGTACGCGAGTCACGTGACTGGAGTTTCATCACCTAGGAGGAGACGGTGCTGGTGGAAGAGGCTTAGTTATTATATGATGAAATATAAGGGATCTAAATATAATTTAAATTCCAATTCCAATTATTACAGTTACATCAATAGTAAGGTTAGAAAATGTACTTGAGCTCTGTATTTTTATCATTTTTTTAGATTTTCCCCAGAGTTTTGTACAAATAGGGGGTAAGAGAGATACATCAATTTTGGTGGATTTATCTTTAAGGAATTTTCTAAGAAAAGTTCATATGATTATTACACATCGAATTTCATCCTGTTTATGTAATTACAATTTCATCTTCATTTTGTGTTATTTTTGTATTTTGGTATTGAATTTTCGGACTTGAATTGAAGACAAACACTTAACTCAAGCTATATATATCTAAAGTTTGAGTCCGAAAAATAGTATATTTGAAATAAAGGTAAAACTATTTACCATTTACCCTTCTTAATTTCCGATGTCTTTAGATGATAAAAGTCTTGTGTATTGGATATAATTTATTTTATTTGAGCCCAACAATATGGGTATTCATGGTCAATTAAAGGGTTTTAATGGTTGGTAGTTCATGGAATCAAGGCTGATAAAAGATGTATATAAGAGGAGTGAAAAATCTCCTTCTATACATTTTTTCTTTTAAATTTTTTTTTGACAAATCACTTATTATGTATTCAAGTGGGATCAATTATAGTTTAATGGGTTTCTCACTCATTGAATTTTTGACAAATCACTTGTCACGTATTCAAGTGAAATTCATTGTAATTTAATGGGTTCCTCACTCATTGAATCATCGACTAAGAAATTCTATGGGGTAGCTCAAGTAGTAACAAAGTCAAACTATAAACTAAAACATTCTGAATTTCAATTTTAATAACTTCTTGAGATCAGACCATGAGATATATTCTTTATGAATACTCTAATTTTGACATGAATTACTTACTTTTGATTAGATTGAAAAGGGGATTATTGAATGTGCGTATAAATTGGTTCATACACTCTTGACAATTGAATAAAAAAAAAATGATCGACTAAGAAAAAAAGTATTGAAAGAGATATGAATTCTATATAATACATGCAGTTTTAATGACTCTTAATTCTTAAAGAAAGTAATGGCACCATCAAGAGTTATGGCATCTCTATAGCACGTTTATATGTGTGTTCTTTGGAGAACATATGCACATGTAATTGAACAATCATCAAACATAAACGTAAGAGGGAGTTAATGCAAAAGTGGTGATCGACTTGGTCAAGTTGTAATTTTTATCAAGATTTTTTGTCAGACTAGTGGTGAGGCCGATACTTGTGATGTTCCAAATTACAATTTAAGGACAAACACTTTTGTACAAGTAACATCAATTATGTATTATGCCTGTCCTCGACTACTCCAGGTCTATCTCTATCCTAACAACTTATATTAGAAGACTCGAGAAATCGACATAAAATTAAATATAAAATTGACGGATTTGAATTGAGGTTTAATGAGTTTATATGGTGAACAAGTAGAATCCTTCGACTCATTAAATAAATGAGTTGACACGAATTTAATAAAATAATTACGAACCCACTAAACATAGCTTATAGATGGTACGGATTTGATATGACAAGAAAACTCAGCTATACACAAATATAATTGAGTGAGGTATGAATTGAGTTAATTTTAACATAAGATGACACGACACATTAACAACCCTACCGTGAATGAATGGGGACCAAACTCTAAGCATTCAGTGATAGTACTTGGACCCCCATTCTTATGAAAGCAAGAATTGGATAATAATCGACTCTTAATTGGCTGAATTAGTCGGAGTTTAGGAGAGGAAGCCTACCTAAGTCAAGTAGATTTGAGAGTTGAATTGGCTAGCATTAGCTGGAGAGAGAGAATACTTGAAACAACTCACCCATCTACCGACCACAAGCTTTCATGCAGACCAATTTGCATATATGACATATTCCAATCGTGTTACCCATAATCCATCTTTATTTTATGCAAATAGGATCACCTAAAAAGAATTTTAGGTATGATGCATAATGCAATGGTTTGTTTGAGGAGGGGCCCGCATCGTATTAGCCAGTTGGTAAGATGATAGCTTACCAAGCCGATGAGCAATAGTTGATGCGAGAGGATTATTAGAGAGTGAGACACGGCCCAGACTCCCATAGGAGTCTATGCCATTGTAGCCAAATAAATTACTCTACCCTCCTGGATTGCCTGCAACCTAAATCTGCATAATATGCAACCCTGCTGGGAGAAGAATGATTGGAGGCTTCCAATGGAGATTCATTAATATCTTTCGTATTCTACCACCAAATGCGATCAAGAAAAAAAAAATGAACAGATCCGATTTCCAAACAGGCTTCAAATGTCAAACTGAAATGGGGTTCAAATTTGGTTTGAAGAGTTATCCAGATATTGAATCAGAATCTCAGAACTTGAACTGAAATCCTAAGTTGCCTAACTATGTCACAAAGGCAGTTTCTAAGCATAAGGCAGGGACATATAGAAGGAAAGACGTAGCGAGATGCTTTTTACCACTTGATGAGGAGGGGGGGGGG